TTTTTTTTGGAATATTTATCTATATCATCTAGAGATGACAAAACCGTAAAAAATTCTAGACCTGATATACACTTTAAGCAAAACTTTTAGGCTATACTTCGTTGCCTTTTTAGTATTGATAGGAATGGCATTTACTTTCAATTTCCTGCAAAACGATTGCCGGCAGATGCCATTTCGTTGCCGACTCAATATTCCGAGATTCAAAGGTGGATATCGTACAATATTCACCTCCAATTAACCAATGAGCGCGCGCGTTCTTAGGAAGTACACAAGTTGGTATATGCTAATACATGATACTTTGCAGCTTTGGGGGGTAAACAGGCTAGGCGTAAAACCGCTTATTTAGAAGATAAGATGTAAACTTCGTTTTTGACATTAAAAGTATGAAATAACACAATACGAAAACAGAATTTTGGATTTCCTTTTAAACACTTTTTCATGAGTCAATGACAGAGCAGAAAAACGACAAGGCTGCTACTTTCGCTATTTTTCTCTTTATCTCTCATTCATGCTAAAAAAAAGCGTTTAGTTTTTCATTCGTGTCTCTTGTGCTTTAAATTTTTCACAAAATTTTGCTAACCTCGAGCAATTCTACTTCGAGGTATTAGCGAAAATGTTAGTTTTTGTGCTGATCAAAATATCATCTCTCCCAACGTTCAGGGCGTTATATCTCAAATACGCATTCCTTAAGTTTCCCCAAATTTTGGTATTTTGTTAATCAGCCCCAAAAGAGCCTGTTTATGAAATGTAAAGCTTGTTAACGCATAAACGTCGAAAGTAGAACCCGTTTTTCTGCCCTGTCTGAGTCAATATGTTTTTAACACCTATGTTCTGAAAACTAAGACTACAGCGCTTTTGCTACAAAAAAAGAACGCAAAAAAGTCGAAAGAAAAACGGTTTCTAGTGCGTGCTGGCTCCGTGTGAGCGATTCGTAATTTGTTAATGTAATTTTTTGGTATATTCTTTTATTTACCACGGCTCTCGACCAATCAGAAAGCGAGAAAATTAACATTTGTGGTCATTCAGTTTTTGACAGTTTTTTGACCAGTTTAATACCCTCCAAAAAGCAAAGTAAGTCGACTTCTCTTGTCTCCTGAGAGCGGTCAAGATACACAAAGGGCGCCGGCGAACTTTGCGAAAGCCTACAAAGCATTATGATGTTTCAGGTCCCGGTTGTTCGAAGGTTGGATAGCGCTATCTGGCGGATATTTATTGAATAATAACATCGACTTATCCACTGGATAAGGATTTGTCCGTTGGATAGCGCTATTAATCCACCCTTCGCCGGGGATTTGAAATTGGCGTAGACGGAAGATTAGCTCCGAGAGCGTAATTTATGCTCTCTTGCTGTCACTTGATTATCAATTTACACATATGATGTTTCAGGTCCCAGTTGTACGAAGGATTGGATAGCGCTATCTGGCGGATATCTATTGAATAATAGCATCGACCTATCCACTGGATAAGGATTTATCCGCTGGATAGCGCTATTAATCCACCCTTCGTACAATAAAACCGGCCCCAGATGTTTATCTAAAAGTGAACATGTACCTGTAGTGTATATATCATTTATGCACTTTCTTAGAGATATCTCAACTGTAACTACTTTAATTAACTGATAATATCAATAATAACAATAAAAACATTAAAACGTTGATGAAATCTTAATGGCATCACTATTATTAGAGAATAGGACGTCAAAAGTCAAACTGAAATGTGGTCAATGTCCTCGGGCTACTTGCGTATTCCTACGGTGAGTTTTAAATAAATATCCGATTTCAAATGGGATGATGCTTATATAAACGTCTAATTCAAGTTTCTCTCATAGTAATCGTTCCAAGAGAGTTTCTTATAAGGCATTTACTGAACCAGTAGTTTCCATGAAGGAGAATCAGGAAGCCAGACGCGTCTTCATTCCATGGTTCGCTCTGTTTATCTCTCTGGCCTGTATTGCTTGTCTGGTTCATGTTCAGTGGACGCTTTACACGCATCGCGAACAGATTGGCTTTCTTATGAAACAAAACGAGGAACTGAGGGATTTAAAGCAACAGCTACTTGAACAGAACAAGCAAACTAAAGGTAAAACTAAACAATCCAAGTATGTACAACAAATAAGTATGACTGTTATTTGTCACCTAAATCCTTTCATCGAAACACTGTAAGAAACGTTATAATCGTTCTACTTTAACTGGAGCACTTTATTAACGCAATGAAATATTGTG